GGGAGTTTTCATACAAAACCCAGAAGCAGCGTATGCTGATGGTTTCCAGTAAGGGTTGACTGCTTCTCAGAGGAAATTATGGTGCAGAGTCAGGTCTTATGCTAGTATCATGTTGGACATACACTAAATAAGCATAGAAATTATTCCAGTAGTGGAAGTGTTTCTATTTATCCCTAAAGCATGTTTTTTGTTGATGTGTGCGTGTGTCGGCTGTTCATGTGTCATTTAGCAGTGACACAGCTAGGGGGGGTCCTAGAGGTTTTTTTGGGAATGTTTTTCTTTAAACGGGAAATAACCCAGTGCTGGGTAACCTGAATGCATTAACCTGGTCCATGGAGAGACCATTACTGTCCCAGTGGTTCTATATATAACTTGTATGGTTATATATATCACTATTCACAGCATGGAATGAATTAAGCTGAGTTATGGAGCTGTTATATACCATTTTTAGACTACATGAAAACAGTTTTCTTCAGTGTAATATACAAGCCGTGTCTCACAAAGCCAATGTCCATTCTCAGCACTGGGGATGAAGATGCTGCAGTACCCACCCAGGGTTGCTCAGAACAATGCTGCCGGATGAAGCCTCTTGTAACACAGAAACATTAACATATGGCTCTTCCTTCACTTGTTCCTTTTTAAAAAAAACAAACTAAAACAACCTTCCTAGGCTTAGGCAGATGTTAGACATTTCAGGGTTGACTCTGATCCACTGACTGTTGTAAAAATGTAAATTAAAGTAACTGTAAAACCAAAACCCCACAAATGGTTTCTTAACACAAAGCATGGAGCCTTTTGAGATACCCCGTGTACCAAAAGTGATGTATCACATGTTCAATTTAGATCAGTGGCTTTTTTATGGAAATACTTTTATGTTTTTTGGGAAAGTTGGGACAATCTTTATCTGTTCGTTTGCTGCTGTTGTCAGAATACAGTAGTTCTTTTAAAAGCAGCAGAAAAATAATGGTTATGAAATATGAATTGTTACATGTGCAGTTTGAACTAGATATGGAAAGAAACCCACTTGAAAGCAAAGAAGTTTTGGTGTTTGCTTGATTTTAACAACAAGGAAAAGTCTGAGTAATTTATTTGATATGTTATTCCAGTCCTGATTGCAACTAGTTTTTCTGTCTGGGGTAAAATGATAAAGACACACAAGTAGTCCTGTGTGCAAATAACTCTTGGATGTGAATGCAGAGTCTTGTTTGGAGATGAAATTCTTCAGGGAATGTACTAGAGACATTTTATTCTATAGATGAACTTCTATGTATACATGCTGTACTTGGCATAATATATATTAAAATACTGATATTTTTCAAGCCAAACAAATCTTGATTCATCTTGCACTACTATAAAGCAAATAGGTTTTGGATATCTTAAGACTAATTTAAAAGCTGTGCATGTGAAGATAAGTTTACATATGAAACACCCTAGATCTCGCTAAAGATTTTCTATCTCATACAGATTTGCCTAAAGCAATTTTGAATTCCAGTTGGTCATTTTTTTGTTTTACAGTTAGAAACTCTTATTTGGATAGGGAAAGCTCGGCATCTGAACTTTTTTTGGTTGAAGAGTAGCTTCGAGTGACTTGTTTTGAACTATTTGTCTGCTGCAAGTGAGATTAATTACCTGTGTGAAGAAATAAATACATAGTTTTTAAATTCAGAAAATAAAACTTTGGAAAGTGCATTAACAGTTCATGCTTCAAGGAATACAGACAACTGATGGCACTTTTTCCTTGTAACTGTGTTAAGACTTTGACCTTGAATTTGTGCTTTATCCCATGGACTAAAGAATAGAATACTCTTTGGGTGAGCTGTTTCTGTGCAGTCGCAGGATTTGTACCATGACGTCATTTTTGCATCATGAATTTCTGGTTTCTGCTATTCCTGTTACTTGCACAATGCATGTCCAGTGCAGTGTTAGTTCAAACCCTTGTCAGCCTTTTTTGAAGGATCATAGAATCATAGAATACTTAGGGTTGGATAGGACCTTAACATCATCTAGTTCCAACCCACCTGCCATGGGCAGGGACACCTCGCACTAAACTATGTCGCCCAAGGCTCTGTCCAACCTGGCCTTGAACACCGCCAGGGATGGAGCATTCACAACTTCCTTGGGTAACCCATTCCAGTGCTTCACCACCCTCACTGTGAAGAACTTCTTCCTTAGATCTAATCTAAACTTCCCCTGTTTAAGTTTAAAGCCATTGCCCCTTGTCCTACCGCTACAGTCCCTAACAAAGAGTCCCTCCACAACATCCTTATAGGCCCCCTTCAGATACTGGAAGGCTGCTATGAGGTCTCCACGCAACCTTCTCTTCTGCAGGCTGAACAGCCCCAACTTTCTCAGCCTGTCTTCATACGGGAGGTGCTCCAGCCCTCTTATGACCCTTGTGGCCCTCCTCTGGACCTTCTCCAACAGCTCCATGTCCTTTTTATGTTGAGGATGAAAAAAACAGTATCAGTGTTGGGACTCTGTTTGTCCTGTGCAAGAGCAACTTTTTGTCTCACACTCTTCTCTCTGACACCCATTAGGCCCAAATCAGTGTGTAAATCAACCAGTCCAAAAGAAAGCAGAATATTGTTCCTGGGTATTCATTTATACAGAAACTGGTAGGGTCTGTCCACTAACTCTCAGGAGTTTCAAAATAGGACTGAGCTTTCTGTTTCTAATGCTGCTGATAATCACATGTTAGTTAAGTTTGACCCTTTGGTTCAGTGTTCTTTCTTAAAGCCCTGTGAATTGATATTAGAAGTTAATCTTGGTTTCTCTTTATATTTCTTTGGGCTTTGTATTTCCTAAGGTGGAAGAGTCGCTTATTGCATATTGTTGCAGTTGTAGATGCAGAAAATCCAGACATTTTTGAGGATCATGTGGTCTGTGCAGAAGTGGAGGAGACATCATCAGTCCCCTCTCACCCATTCTTGGCCCGTACACATGTCTTCCAATATTGTCCGTTACTGTGTGTAATGTTAAATTTCAGCTTGAGTTACCCCTGGGACTTTCTGCAATGCCAAGGCCTCCCGTTGACATTCTGGAGGCATGTAAGTTAATACCATTACTGGTTCCTAAGACTGGTCAGATTTAACTTCCTGACTTACTGTTTTGTATTCCTGCCACCAGAGATGCCCTCTTGGTGTGGTTAACAAGCCTTGAGGCTTCTGACAAGAGCGTGAGGTCCTTTTGCCTCCTTCCCTATGCATGTGGTAGGGCTTGCGGTACAAACCTTGTGCCAAGTCAACCAGTGGCTCCACTCACCTATAGCTGTGCATGTGCCAAACCTGAGAGGGAAGGGAATGAGCCAGCAGAGAGCCCTAGAGCTGTGTCTGGTTATTTATCAGGCAGACCGTTTGTAAGAGGCAAGTGATGTCCTAGAGTAGAGGAGATCTACTGCCTTGCTAGTGGTAAGATCACCTTAGCAGCCAGTTTCATGACTGTTAGTCCCATGTGGACATGCTCAGAGCTTTTTTAATTGAGCCAGTGGTTAAAAAGTCACTTGTTTATATATTCCCAGTTTTACGCGAATGATTTGTGCCATACCTTGTTTACAAACAATTGTTTGAATGTAAGTATCTGTATCTTACCTACTGAGCTATTTTAAAACTAGATGCTAATGGAGAGGTTTGAAGTACAGCTGTCTGCTAGGCTTTTTTCCCTGCAAACAAGTTTAGGCTTTCTTCTCAAAGTTAAACATCTCTTTGTCACTGTGTCTTACCAAAACTTGCAGACCATGTTATGAATACTTTGAAAGCTCAGAGAAAAACAGAGCTCTCAATCCGTTCAGCCTGGGCTGCTTGCCATTGTCTTGTCCTGCATGTGTATCTTATGTGAAGTAATTATTTTTTTTGGGGGTGGGAAGTCTATGTATCTTTATATTTCTCTGTATGTTTATGGTGGAGATAGAGGGCAGGAGATGAGTATCTGTAACCAGCGGGTGCAGTTGTCTAGACTCTTCTCTTACCTGTTGTGGTTTTTTTCCTTTTATTATTGTGCCTGAAACTTGAAGTCATCCTCTGAATGCAGGATAGCACTGGCATGGGTCCTGAGAAACAGCTTCAGATTTGGCTGAGAACTAAGTTGTTGAAAAGTACTGATGGAGGCTTTCTTTGTGTTGCTCTTAATTATCATTTCTTTCCCATTAACTAGAGACAGATAATTGAAGCTTAGCACTGGAAAGAACATTTTGTAGGAAACAGCCCTGCCTCAGGAAGGGGATGAACTGATGACCCTGTAAGCTTTTCCAGCTCAAATTTCTGTGGCTTTTTTTATGAGGAAAGGACAGAAAAAGGACCAAGAACACTTTGAGGCTTTATATCTATTCTCTGCTTATATAAAGAGAAGACGCACAGAATCATTTTTCCACAATGTTGATTGTGTTAAATGGGACTCTCTGTTACAAGTAAAGTTACACTGATCTCGGGATACATACGATCTGTAAACAGCAGGGAAAATTCAACGAGCCTGAAATAAAAGCATAGTCAGGCTACACTGACACACTCTTGCAGGAGTTCATGTCAGCCTGTGCATGTAGAGCAGGATATAAAGCACCAAACTGCTAAATGGAAATCCCAGCAATGGAATTTGTGGGGGCATCTGACACACATGTCTCTGCAAGGGTGATCGCCTTGCCAGAAAGTAATAATTTGATATAGGAAGCAGCATTTAGGAAGCTGAAATTTTTGTTGCTGATCCTTTGTAAAGAAGCTACTATAGAACAGAAGCAAAGGGTGTAGAGAGGTAATGTTTTTTAATTAAACTGGCTGATAGCATTACAGAAGCCAAAGAAGTCTTTGGAGTCATGGACCATGACTCTTTCCATGCCCTCCCCTGTGTTTCAGCCAGTCTAATAGAAGATGTTGCCTCTACCTGTAAAATTCTTTTGTACCCGGGTTAACTGCATGTACAGCAACCCTGCAAGCATATGGCAGCACATTAGACACTGCTGCTGCCTTTGGGAGAAACCTGTTAACACTTTGATTGTCTTTGCATTCCTCCAGGTCGGATTCGTACAAGGAGACAGAGCTCTGGCAGTGCCACAAGCGTCACCTCAATGCCTGCTGATACCCGAGGCCGCAGCCGTGCTAAAGTAGTTTCCCAGTCCCAGCGTAAGAAGTGTTTTATTTCTGGGGGAGCAGAAAAAATAGTTATTAATATATTTATCTTGAATTGTAGTAGCATCAGCTGTGGATTGGGCTTACTTCTGCTAATGACATTTGGACATGTGGCAAAATGAATCCCTACTCAGACAGTCTGTGCTCTTGCTGACAAATAGGGCCCCAAATGGTGCTTAGTTGCTGGCCCCCCCCCCCTTTATTTTCTTATTTTTTTGTACCAGCAGAATTTCATGTTGCTGTGATGTGTAGGACTGAACTTGCACTGGGTCCTACTGAGACACCCTCTGTGTCTGACTGCTGTCCTGGGTTCTTGCCCTGCCAAGCTTCTCCTGCTTATGTGACTGTATTGCTGTATGTGTAACATGTGAGCTGTCTAAAGTTAATGGGGTTTGGCATCAATTTAAAATGAGGACATCACCTATTTTCAGTAGATACAGGAGAGAGAGTTCTGCTCTTTGATGCACATGACACATCTGTGCTCTCTGGCTTCCTGGCAAAAGCGTGGTTCTCCCCTAGGAGCCATGCATATGGTTCTGCTGCATATTTGTCGTGTGTATCTAAGGAGAATTTTGTCACTCAAGCTTTAAAATGAATTGGGGAGAGGGAGAAAGCCACTTATGTTTTGAGGACCTTCAAGCTTTTGTGGGTAAGAGGAGACAGGGTTTGTAGAAAGACCTGTTTGTTCTGAGGACTTGTCTTGCTTTGTACCCCTATTTAAAAGCCCTTCTCTGTTCATTCTCTCATTGCTTTGCTCTGTCATGCTGGAGGGATGGAAAATCAGTTTATAGCCTTGTGTTAGTCTGGGAGAGCTGAAGAAGGAAGTATTGTATTCAGGATGGGGCCAAATGGAAATCTTTACATTGAGGTCATGAAGGGATTAGGGCTTTGGTATGCTCATCTAAATTGATTTCTTCAGTTTGGAACTTAAAACTATCTAAAGCCAAAAATGACCTTTTTTCCTAAAGTTAGCTTGGTGAAAAGTGATCAAACCAGATGAGACAAGTCTCAGAAGTATTTAAATAATAGTTGAGTATCCAAAGGTTTCAGAGACTATGGGCTTAATTGTTCTTATAGAATGACTTACGAAGCTTTAGGATGGTCATATCTGAACTGACTGGCTTGGTCTTGTTTGCTGAATCCTGTTTCCAGCCTAGCCCAACCAGATGTGATCTCTATCCTTAATCCAAACATTGCCTGAAATAACTTATGAATTCAAATATACTACGGACACTGGACCAAATTCTCTATGCCCACACAGTGGATAACCCTGTTGCAATTTTGCTGACTGGGCTGGGGTGTAAATTAGAGCAGAACTTGGGTCTTGGTGTGTTGGTTAACATTTAGCTAAGAAAAGTTGATCAACCTTGGGAAATTCTTAGTTGCATCTGCACATTAACTCACTGTATTCTGCAGAGGCTTTAGGAATGACATGTTTGTAAATAAATCTGTCTGTATTGTGTATAGCATAAACGGCATGCTGAACGCTGTATTGTCTTGCTGTCTTTTAATCCACTTTTTGCCTGTCCTTTGGTCTGCCCTCATAAACAAGGATCCAGATCAGCTAATCCTGCTGGTGGTAAGAAACATTTTCCCTTTCTTGCTTTCTCATGTTATTTCCTTCACATTTTTTAACTGCTAAACTTTTAGCTTGTTTCCCTCACTCTCTCCTAACTACAAAACTTAAAAATCACATTCTTAAAGTCATAAATCCAAATGTGTATGGCAAGTGATATTGCTTTCTTATAGTAATCAAACATGGTAAGCATACATATAGCATATTGAAGCTGGCTCATTGCTGCAGCTGAAACCCTAGGTGGTAAGTTGTTCTTCCAGATACTTCAGTGCAACCCTGCTGACCTCAGTGAGATTGTTCAGCATACGTGAGGGGAGTCTTGGCTTTAGGTTGTGGATGCTGTGTGTGAGACTGGCATCTGTCACAAGTATTCTCACTCTGTGGGGGGAGGATATGGGAGCAAAGCCAGCACCACGTACAATACTGAAATATGTTATTTGATTGACCTAGAATGGCTTTGGCCAAGAAACTGGAAGGGGCAAGTAAGTTAAAATAATGCATGTGTTAATGGTGTTGTCCATGAGATCAGTAGAATTGCCTATCTTCTTAAACTAAGATAGAAGAACAATATTTAACTCTTGCTGGGTGTAATAGTATATGGAACTGAAATTTTTGTAAGATGTGTAGATACTTCTTAGAAAAAACCCAACACGAATATTGGTTCAGAATGTAAATGTTCAAATGTTCTTGCCCAAAAATGTTCATGCAACCTTTTCAGATATGCTTCTTCTGGCTGTTTTAGCAAACAAATTGAATATCAGGAATAGTAGTATCAGCAGCAAATTTTCAGTGAGTTGTATGTACCTGAAGAAGAAAAGAGATTCTTGAATCTATTGCCCTTACAGTTCTTTATGACTAACTTTAAGCTACCACTACTTCATTTTTTAACAACTTGCCAAATGAAAATCCACAGGTTAAAAAAAAAAAAAGTAAGTATTATTCAGTTCATAGAGTTAGACAGCAGGACTATTTCAGATAGAAATACTTACTGCAGCTGGGCTGTAAATACATAATAAATCTTGGTCAGTAGACTTGTCTTGCAGACAGCGTGGCTTAGAAGTATAAATTTGCTTTGGACTATTCAAACAGACAAGGAAAAATAAAACAGGCCAACTACTCAACTTGCTAAAGATTTTCTCCAGCTGAAAAATAACTAAATAGCTTAGGTTTAACCAGTCAGACCTGAGTAAGCCAGCATCTCTACAAATGTGATGTGCTCATGTATGTGATTTACCCTTTATTGTGCTGGTCTGCTGCTGTTGTTATTGTAGCAAAGTAATGCCACCACTGCAGTATAGCATGAAGGTGCCTGAGCTACACTGCAGTAGATTGCCTGTGCCAGAAGCCAGCATGCTGCAGCACAGCTCTCCCCATGGGCTAGTTTGTGTTGCTTCCCAGGGAGGTGAAGCGGCCTGTGAATTCCATTCTGCTCCAGCAAGGCTGCTTCTGGCACCTCTGCAAGCTTGTCCAAAGCCAGCTGGGGTATTCATACACTGCAGTGTCTACTCTGGTCTTTAACCCACCTGAGCAGCAGGGTTCATACAGGCAGGGTTGCTCATGTCAGTGTTTATTGTCCATGAGCTTTCCTCAGTCGTCTTTGAAAGCCCATGGGGAACACTCGCATTAGTTTTCTGAGTGATTTGGATCAAATTTCTTAGATCTGATTGTGTTCCAGTTTTGCTGTCATAGTATTTAATCTTGAGGGAGTTTTAAATTGGTTTTTGTTTGTTTGTTGTTGTTTTTTTAACTTATTTCTGGTTCTCTTCTAGCTGGTAGCCGGTCCAGTTCCCCCGGTAAGCTCTTAGGAAGCACCTATGGTGGCCTGAGTGGTGGAACATCCAGAGTCCAGCCAGTGCCATCATCTTCAGAGAAGCGCAGCAAGATCCCTCGGAGCCAGGGATGCAGTCGAGAGACAAGTCCCAGCAGAATAGGACTAGGTAAGAATAGTCACTGCAGTGGCGTGCTGACAGGCGTGCTTGAAGGAGGGACTTTCCTGTTGACTAGGAAATTGTTTATGTGTTACTGTTATTCTTCTGAGTTTTTCAGCTGGCAAGTTAATGTTGCTGTGGTTTGTATGAGAGTAATTTTAATTTTCCAGGTTGAGCTATAGTTTCAAAGTTGGCCTAAAGATGTCATGAGATGTCTTTTGTTTGAAGTTCAGCATGAGTGATATTATTAGATCAGGCAGCAAAAACAGTTGTTGTGAATAACTGTTACAGCAAAAATATCTCATTGACATCAGCAGCTTAGTCTTAAAATGAGTTGAGTAGTCTTTACAGTCAATTGAATCAAGGGCAGAAAGCACCTTCTTGGATTATTTTAGAAATTTTGCAGCTTAAATTGTTTGCCTCTCTTATCCTTAGTATTTGGAGCCGCTTTTAGATGGTGTTTTAGACTTATGCTTTAATTGTTCTGCTCCAAATATTCTTGTCTCAGTGACTGTTATGTAAATATTCTATAATAGTTTTTATTTTCAAATTTATCAGCAGACTTTTTTTAAGTCAGGTGAGTAAGCATCATTATATATAAACTTTCGTGTATCTGAATGAGGTGAAAAGGTATTCAGTGTACTGTCTGAAGAACAAGTAGATACTGTTTTCATTTTTAAACAGAAATGTTTTCCTACGTTTGAAGCTTATGTAGAGGAAGAACACTTTAAATAATACTGTTACTTAATTATTTTATATCTCCAAAGAATTCACCAGTAGAATGAAACTGATTGAAATTATAGCCCTACTGTTGTCAATTGAATTTTTAACTCTTGCCTTGGCAATTGTATTTTACATTTAAGTTTCCTTTCTATTTAGAATGTTTTCAGTAGAGAAGTAACTTATTAATACTGCAAGTATATTGAAATGAATTTTAAGCACCTGAGTGCATGTGGTTAAGATTCATAACAAATATTGCGTGTTCAGTGTGGTTTATTTTTTCCAAATTCAGCGTTCTTCTCACGTCTGATCTAGTTTATTGACCTCTGTATTAACACATTGTGCTTTTCTGTTCATTGCTTTTAAAATGTGAAGTGCCTCCCAAATATTAGTGGTAATTGTCCTACTATCACTCTGCAGAAGAACATTGGTTTTTAGGAGGAAACAAAAAATGATGCATAGTGCCATCACACATGCTTAAGCTGATCATCACATTATGTCTGATTTTGATCAGTCTTGAGTATCTAAAGGGAAATTGCTATGTGTAAAATCCTCACTCTTGGGTTGCCTGCTTTCAGGTATATTTTGGGAGCCTTGTTGAAAGTGTAATTTGTATCTCACTGCTCTGATGTGCTCCCTGTGAACACAGTCAGCACTTGTTCTTTGGGAGTGGGAGAGAACTGTAACAGATCTATCAACTGTGTGGCATCTATCCACCCCGTCTCTGGGGCTGATGGCCACAGCATGTTCTTTTGGGCTGTTATGGGAACAGGAGAGTCTGACACTTGTGTTGCCTTTACTACTCAGTTGCAGAAATTCTGCCTCTCTTGGATCTTGAAAATGGTAATATTGGCTTGGATGGAGATAGCTTTTGAGCTGTCTTCTTTATACCATTGTTCTGGTTTATTTATTACTTTATAACATAGTGGCTAACAGTATTTTATGCTTCTTTATTCTATTACTTCAGTCCCTATCTTGTCTTTTTTTTTTTCTTCTTTTTTTCATTTGTTTGTGTCATTAAATAGACTCCCACTCACCTTGTCACTTTGTCAGCGTCTGATGTGCTTGAGCACACATTGCAGTGCAGGGGGTGTTGAACCATTGTGCAGATCAGACTGTTAGAATAGAGTAATTCCTGGATCCTGCTCATTACTCATCCATCAATATGTGTATCTAGGGGAGACTGAGAGTTGCAGTTTGACCAATGCTGTCTACGAAGATTAAGCACACAGAGTGTGGATCCCTGTGTGCAGTTGAGCTTTATACAGGAGCCATCCACTGGAGTTTTTCAGGCCCTTCTGAGGCAGTAACAACCTAATAGAGCCTTTGCATGTGGATGCTCTTTAGATTTCCATGATGACCACAGGTATCCATGAAATATGTTCCTTCTGTATGCTGGAAACCTTGAAGTAGCATGTTATTTCCTAAGAGGCAGCACAATGAGGCATGTTTGGTATGCTGAGGTCCTGCATGGTCGCCTGTTCTGTAGTGGTCCTGTTCTGTAGTGGTATTCAGTTTTAAGCTTGCCTTTGCTGTCTGTTTGTGGGGATTTACTAGCAGTGATACTCTGTTGGGGAAGGAAGAGTATAGTCCACTTAATCTCAAGCTTTACTTTGGACCCCTTAAAGGATATCTCCTCAAAAAAGGTGATGACTGATTTCCATGGATTGAAAGTTTATGTGCCTGAAGTTAATTTTTTTGGATGCTCAGCAGATTATGTGGCACAATTGGATCTGAAAGGAGTGAGAGATTTGAAATTGTCATTCTTCAAAAAGTGAAGAAGGCACAGCTGGCTATCAATTTCAGGCAGCAGCACTCCTTCTGTTGGGATTATCCTGTGTGTGTTTATTGGAAAGCTGAAGGCAGTTCTTGACTTGCTTCTACTGGGTGTACCCCACTGCAGAGCTTTCCTTTGGCTGTTTTAGCAGCTTTTACAGGCTTTTTAAAATGCTTGTATTGATGTAAAGGAAGCATCTGCTGATTTTTTAGTGTCCACTTAAGAATCATTAAAAATCATACCCTAATAAAACAGTTTTCTTCCAAGTGGTAGGCTGGTAAACAGGGGCACTATTGAGTTCTGCTGGTGGGATTTCCATCTGTTGGGTTCCACTGGTGTAAGACAGCATAATAGTGTGTTTTAGCAATGGTGTGAACTGTATCCAATTGCTTTGACTTACCAGATGAAATTGGTAAAACCTAAATATACAGGACACATCTAGAGAGCTGGGATTTTATTGAAAACAAGTAAGTCCTGTCCTTTTCTAGGCTGTCAGTCTAGAGCTGGCTGTGGGCACACTGTCTGCTTTCATCCTGCCTACTTCTTTTAATTAATTTTGCTACTCATTTACTTGATTTCTGTCCAGCTTCTGGGAGTTGGGAATTCTGAAATAGAGACTCGTGTCTGTCGTCTCTGCCTTTACTGCATGCACTGCAAACACAGGCTGCGACAGTATCAGATGCTTTTCTAAATGACATCACTGCTGGCCCTTACTGCTGGCAGTATCTAAAGGAAATACTCTGAGCAGCTAATATCCCATCTTCCCAACATAACACAACGCTAAAAGTGAGGCAGGTGCCTGGGAGTCTACAACAGATTTATCATTCAGTACTTTTCAATTCATTCTTTTTTACTTGTTTTTGTGTTTGTAACATGTAAGTCTTTAGTTTGACCATTACTCATGAAGTAGCTGGGGTTTGGGTTTGGGTGCTCTGCTTGTACAGTCAGTATTGTGCTTCATCTGTGGTATGCTCTAATGCAGTTAAAATGCTTTTTCTTCACACTTCATGCTGCTGCTGTTAGCTGTTATGGAAGGAGAATGTACTATGTGCATTCTTTAATACTTTTTTTTTAACCATTCACATCTCTCCCTGTCTAAAGAGCCATTGCTGGTTTTAGTAGGGTTGTATTATAGACAAGACTGCCAGATCTTCTCTACTTAAGAGAAATGACTTCTTGTGTAAACCTGATGTGAAGGCTGCCATTATTTACATATAAGCATGAGACCCAAGAATGAGAAGTTTGCTTCTAGAGAGTCCTCAATTTCAAGCAAGTGTTTGTGTGGAAGACTTGAGAGTGTTGCTTTCACCTTCAGTTCATCTGTCAGCTTTTTTGCTTGCACTTCCAAGGTGGGATTATTGTACTCATGGACCATAATTTCATTCAGTTCATATAATTTAGTTGGTCTTATTTATTATAAGCCCATCAGAAGTTTTAGACATTATGGTGATCTTATCAACTTGGTCAATAGCTCATCATTGTATTGTCTGTCATCAAAGGTCAACCATCAGAACCATTAATTCATCTGAGATACGAGCTGGGTTTTGCAAAACTGTGACGGATTTGACAAACCAAGAATCTGGCAGTAGTCTCTATTTGAATTTTAAAGCCTAAATATGAAGGTTTCTGTTTTGTTCTGTACTGTTTTACTTGAAAGGATACTAATAGAGCCAGTGTATGTTATCCTGTTGAAGAACTGTGGCGGAACTTGATTAGCTTGAGTCTAGGCATCTAAGTTCTGTACACAGACCAACAGAGATTTGGATCCTGCTTCCCAGGAAAGTGGTGGAATCGCTGTCCTTGGAAATGTTCAAAACCTGTGTAGATGAGGCCCTCAGTGGTATGGTTTAGTGGTGGTCTTAGCAGTCCTGGGGTGGTGGTTGGACTTGATGATCTTAAAGGTCTTTTCCAACCTAGTTGATTCTATGGTTCTATAAGAATATAAATATTCTGAAGCATGCAAATGGCACTTTTTTTATAAATACAAGGGTACTATTAAAGTATTAGCAGGCTCGTGTTATATACATGGGCCTCTGCTGCATTGTCATCAAAACTGGTAGCTTAGATCTTACTCTGTGCATGAGAAAATTCCTTAAAGGCTTTTCCTGAGCAGTTTAAATATGCTACTGCCTTTTCAAAACAGCAAAGGAAATCCCTTTTTAGTAATTAAATTCTTCAAGGTGAACTCATTACAATTAAGTGCTGTTCTTTTACCTAAGAAAGCATAGTATTCTTGACCAGGCATAAAGCTTATTAAATAACTTTTTGCAAACATCTTTCATACCAAAATGACACAGAATTTGCAGAGGAATAATCCAGGTCTGAATATCTAAAATGCTCATTTAAGAAAATAATAAAATTCAAATCCTTGATGTCGAGCAACCTTCTGACAGCCTAGCTCTGCTTTTCCTATTTGCTAAAAAATAAAACTTCAGCTAGAGTAAGCGTGATTGCTTTTTATTATGAAAGCAGTTTAATCTTGTACCACTTTGTGTTTGCCAAAGAGTGTGCATATGATGAGTTCCCATGACACAGCTGATAGGCAGGAGCCTTATTAGGCTGTGGGAAATTGAACACTTGACAGCTGCCAGACCTAAGAGTCTTGTTGATGTATGGTTTTGTCAGAGTTAAGAATATAGTTTAAAGCCACCCTTAAGTGCACACGTCTCAATCTGTGTGCATATAAGACCATAAATATAAGGTTTTAGAAATGTTTGAGGAGTAGAAGTTAGTTTCTGTAAAAGATCTGAAGCTGCTGCTGTCTTAAAATTCAAACACCTTCTAACTCGTCTTTCACGTATTCAGGTTCTAAATGTTTTTTCCTAGTATCTTTCATTGAAGAAAAATAACTCTGCAAGTCTGTACAATACACCTCTTTTCGTTAGGATATTTGTTCATGGCAAAACTTTCCTTCTGAAAGGCCAGATCTATGTAAAAATAATGTATTAATATTGAAAGACTGCTTTTGAAAATTTTGACGTGCTGTTTTGTTCCAGAGGGTGTTTATCTTATAATTAAGGAAAAAATATTCCAGAAGGGTTTCTTTCAGTCTCATCTGTTTTGCATGTTTTGTAACAGTAGAGCTCTCCATAGTGATTGAAGATTCCTGCTCTACTTGAATAACAAAACTTGGATTGCTTAAGAAAAAAGCAGACTGTCAACCAGACATTTAATGCTGCTGAAATTTCACATCACAAACACATCTCAGCATGTTAAGGTAGTCGGTTTGTAAAGAGCCTGAGCAGGCTGCTGCAAATTATAATTACTAATGTGATAATTACCGTAACTAACAGAAATGTGACTTGACTTTGAGCTTTCTGTCCTCATTAAACTTGTTCACCTTCTCTGAAACTCTCCATGCTGCATGCTAGCACGGAGCAGTCGTATCCCCCGACCCAGCATGAGTCAGGGGTGCAGTCGTGATACCAGCCGTGAGAGCAGTCGAGATACAAGCCCTGCTCGGGGCTTTCCTCCACTTGGTGAGTACATGTAGGCATTGGAGCTTTAAGGGTCAATATTTTTTTCCTTTTTCCCTTGTTGTGGTTGCCCCTTCAAGACACTGCCAGGTGGAATGAGCTTGTTTCCTGTCCTCTGTTGGATTCCTGACACAGTCCCTGTTTCCAACCCTGCTTCCCTTCTGTTTTCTTCTGCATGCTTCAATTCTGGTTCTTGGATTTTCACTGTTAGCCGGAAAATAGTTTAGTTTGAATTTCTGTAATTTTTAGTTTCATTAAAACAACTCATATGGGGCTGCTGTGCTTAACTTGACAGCAGTGACAGAAATCTACCAGAGAGCAAGCCTCTGTTTTCTAGGTCACAGTGAAGTAGGCTGTAGTGTTGTAGACTGCTGTTGGGTGACTAATTATTCATGATCTGATTTTCTTACAGCTAGGTACAGTAACAGTGTATCATTTCTGTACTAAATCCTCCAATAGAGATAGAAGCTCTTTTTTTGTACTGGTTTCATTGTCGATCGTCAATTAAAAAGTTGCACATGACATTTTGTAGGCAACGTTTTCAAGCAGCCTAAAATCCTGGAAAGGCTGAGGTTTTAAAGGAGCATCATTAATGTGCAGTTTAAGTGTACAGTACAAATAGAAAACCTCATGCTTACCACATGCAGAAGTTTTTCTGCGCAGTGGTGAAAACAGCAGGATAGTTAATGTTTCTGATCAAATACCATGTCATATATTCAACCAAATACATTACTTGTATGAACAAGTCATCATGTCATCTCAGACATGAAGTATAGCTGATCTCCAGGCACTCTCCACTTATGTAGTAATTTCATAGCTGTGCATGTTGTATTAAAATTGTGAAAGAAGCTCATACAGATTTCATCAAGGCTGAAGAGTGGTATTACAGGATCTATTTTACACATAGTAACAAAATACAGGTATTGTGTAAACAGAGCATAGCATTTGGGGCTTAATTCTGCAACTTTAATCCAATAGGGAAAAAAGGTTATGAAAAATATAGACAGATGGGCAAAATTTTCCTGTTTGCTTCTCATTTAATATATTGTACTTTAATTGTTTAGACTTACATAGATGTTATCATTATTGATTTGGCTGTCAATTCATATCCATATGAAATCACTGGTAAAAACCCTGTTGATATCAATGGTGTAGAGTAGAATCTTCAAGTTAATATTAAGAGGCATTTGGGTTCAAACCTTTATTCTTTTGAACTATCAAATAATCTGTGTTATCTGCAATATCTCAGTTTTGGGTGAAAAATGGGAGGAGTTCATTTTGAAATAGATGAACTTTTTTAATTGATTAAATGAAGCTGATTTGATGCCAGAGCCATAAACAGATAGTAGATGCACAATTGTACCTTGCTTTTATAGTTCCCTGCCTAGCTTCAATATTGGATAAAGCTCTTTTCTCCAGCCAAAGTGTATAAGCAGGGTTAATTCATCAGTGTTCTATGTCAGTGTGCTGTTTTGTTTATTTTATGGAAAATACATAATTTAAATAATATCTTGAGCCTTTGTTCTGAAAAATAAATGCATAGTACCAGAATCACAGTTGGTGAGTTTCAAATACCACCATCTCTATTGAGTTTGACTTGTACACTGACTATATAATTTCAGTTACAGATAATTATTGCACTGTTTCTAACAAACATTATTTTAGCTCACAATATTTAATTACCTGAAGATTAATGCGTTTCTAGAAATACATTGTTATTAAGTTATTAAGGTAAGACGGGGAAGAAGTATCAATGTAATAGTAACCCAGTATGGTTGTTATCCTATTGTCTTTTTTTCTTGTGGTTTCATTGAAATGCTTTAAGCTCAAGCATATTCGTGCACTTGTTAATTATGTAATGTGTAATTCATCTGAAAGAAATTTATATATGTCAGTTTAAGCCAAAACAATATGATTATATTACAGTATTTCTAGAACCCAGTTAATCTTACATTAATGCTAAAGTAATATAATTCTACTATGCATGGTCTATTTTTGCTCATAAAGTTTAAGGGAATTATACTTAAGCTAACTATACATAAACAACAGGATTCTTGCACTTAACAGTATTGTGGTTAATGTCAACACTGATATCGTAACCTTTCAGATTTCTGTGCTTTGTTTTGCGCTGCTGTGCGGGTATGCATGTCTGTGCCCCACGTTTCTGGCTTCATAAGTTAGGAAACACCAGTCAAAAGTCACTCTACACTCGGCCTTCTTGCAGAGATGTGATTTTTTTGTTTTGTTTTTGTTATTCCTGTTTCTTCATGGGCCTTGATCTTGCAGTGACATCCACAGGGGCACAGCGGATGGCTTGAAAGAAAGCAATTGTGAGCTCAGAATCTTAATTGTGAGGTTCAGTCCATGATCCTGCACTGATCCTGCAAATCTTTCATGAGTTATTTATGGTGTCGGTGGGATTGTTCTCTTGAATAAATGCATGTATTCTCTATGGTTAAAGACCACATTGCGTATTCTGTACAGCTTCTAGTCAAGCTCTCACAGCTGGGAAAAAAAATGAAATTTTATTTTTCTCACTTTGCTGATTCCTGTTCTATAATGTTAGTATCTGTGTTTATGAATGCTTTGCCTTGAACAGAAGACTTATTTTTTTTTCTACTGCACACATGTATGCATAATTGACGAAGCCTATTTGTATTAGAAGGTGATTCTGCTTTAATTTTTTCAGTGTCTTGACAGTACTAGATGTTAAAGCAACAAGGCCTTCAGTGGTGATGAATTGCTCAAATGGGCTTGGGTCAGTTGATTTGAGCTAGGTGAGCATGTCATTGCTAGACACAGGGAAAAACCTCTTTAGAAAAACTAGATTTCTGTAGTTTGGAAATGGCTGAACCAGCTTTCCATTTGCTTTCATAAAAGACTCACCTTTATGCTGACTTCATGAACTGAAAACCTCTCCAAAGGCATTTTGTGATCGATGTGCTGCTGACAACTGGGAATTGAAGTGGGAACTGTATTTGGCTTCAGCTCTTCTGCTACTGTATGTGCTCTGTTGCTGTTAACAATTTGTATACATGTAGTGTAATTCTAGATAGGCGTACAATGTTGCAGTTCAGACTATCTGTGCATGTACATACTTAGATTCAAGAAACATGTATACAAAGCTTGTTAAAGCAAGAGACTTTTGGTAGTAGCAACAGCTACGGTATATGTGTACGCGTGTTTACTTGGAAAAGAAACCCAACCCAAGGACCTATAGGTGGTGGTTGGCTGACCTCCCTGTATGACTCTTTCTACTTATGTGGTTATTCATTCTCTTTAACGTTGGTTTTTGGTTTGTTTTTTTCTTTTATGCATAGGCTAGAATGTTGTGGAAGAATATCTGCAAGCACAGTTCTTAAGCATTCATCATGGCTTCACTTCAGGGTTTAGATCAGACACATCTAAATCCTACTCTGTAGTTATGTGCTCCATGTTCTCACGATGGCTGTCTTCCAGATCTGTGGCTCTGGAATGTGACTGATGTGCACTGGGGTTTTTTGCTGAACTGCACTGGGTTTGGGACTGTTACAAATGAGTTTTGTCATGCATTGTGTTTACAGTCATGGGGGATAAAGGGGAAGCTACAGATGGAGGTGTTGCTGTGGGGCTTGCACTGTATCTGTTATGCATTCATATACAGCGTCATTTCCCTGTCACTATGAAACACCTTTACCGGTAGCGGTCACGCATCCTCTTTGGATTGTGGCATTTTCTGTCTCGGGTTAAATGTGTGTTAATCCTGTGGGTGTTGCCATTCCTTCTACTTGCAGCTTCTCGACGTCATTCCAGGTCCACTAGTGCTCTCTCCACTGCTGATTCTGTTGGGCAGTCAGGTGAACAAGCGCTAACTGCATGAATCCGCTTCTTATACGTAGTCTTGTTTTACACCATCTTAACATTTGCCATCACGTGCATCAGCTAGCACTTGGCATGTGCTTCTCACCGCTGTGCGGCTTTCTGTTCCATTTTTGTTCAACGTGGCTTTTTGGTTTGAATTTCATTTATTGGATGTATTTAATTTTGTGTATTTGAGGAACATTGTGAAAAGTGTTTAAACAAAGGGTGATCCAGGGCTTTCTCAATTCTGTAAATCAGGTCAGTTGTGCAGCATGGGCTAAATCCTCACTGGTGCAGAGTACTTCCAACTTCTGTTTATATTTCCTTTTTAGCAGTGGTGCAATTCCCAGTGCCTAGGACTGGATCCCAATGGGTTTTATCCCATTTATTACTAAATATTCTGGACTCCTGTCAGTTAATGAAAGTATTTGTAGGATCCTCTCAAAAAATACCCAAGAACAACAAGAATTAAGCACCTCATGAACTTTCAAAATGAACTTTGGAGCATACACATGCTGAACCATCTTTCATATAATTCTGAAGGCCTTGTCCAAAGTACATGGAAGTTGTTGAAAAAATTATTCCCATAATTTCACGGGACTTTGGCATCAGGAGACTAATGCTTACAGATAATGAGAAAAATCTGCATATTCCATTTGCTTCTTCCACACTCCTGTGCTGGATTCACAGTTGTGGAGAACCTGTAACTCCCTTTTGAATCAAGATATTTCACTGGAAGTCTTAGAAATGAATGGGGGCTGCTACCTTTGGGACAACAGAGACTTAATTGTGGGGACAAAGATGATGTAGGAGATGAGGGCTTCAGTGTTTTCTTGGAGGCTGAAATTGTATAAAGATTTAGTGATACTGAAAATTATTAATACCCTTCAGGTAGGGAGTGAAAAATACTGTTTCTCATAAGCCTAGTTAAATGGCTGCCACTTAACTAGACCTCTCAAAACATTTCCCTCATCAGGTTGCTCAGCAGAAATGATGCAAGCTGGTTTGACTGGCATTTTTCTAAATAATAAGCCAAATTTGTATTTAACAAAAGTAACTGAAAATGTTTAAAATACTTCAAACTGTAATACAGATTTCAGCTTTGTTTGCATTCAACTTCCTATGATAATCACTTGATGCTTGACTCCTGTGCTTTGGTGCAAAGCATAGTCAAATTCTGTATGCTTACCTGTGTCAATCTCCCTAAAAATGGCATAATTGGCCCAAAAATGGTGGTTGCAAATTGTCATCAAGTTTATAATAGGTGTTATAAATCTAGCCAGGGAGACATGTGGCCCTGTATATTCTGGGAATGTGGCCAAAGTATATTCTGTTTATTTCTTGTCCAGTAACACTGGGCAAGAAATGTAGTGGTTATTGCCAGAGCCAAATATGTTCCAAGCCCCGTATAGGGATATGCTGAGGTCTGTCCTAGGATCTAACTTCTGCACTCAGGTATGGCAGCAGTATCTTGGGGAGAAGCCCAGAGTGACTTGGGTGTTACTAATTTAAAGATCACTGAAAGAAGTATTTTAGAAAGTTCCTGATAGCCATGGAGACAGATAAAAGCCAGTGTGCCACACTGTACTTTATTTGTTAAAAAAGCTCAAATTTGTTTCTTTACGCTGGGTATTTAATTGATCTACAACTGAATTACTTTGTCATTCTGTTCTTCATTTTAAAAAAAACCAGACTATCTTCCCTTTTCTAATGTAATACTAAATTTATGTGAAAACAAATGACAGTGGTATTTTTTGATGTTATTCCAAAAGTTTAAGACAAATTCTGATCTGAGTAAACTTGAGTAATGTCACTGAGTTGGGTTTAAATATAAAACCGAGTCCAGAACTTATCTCAACATTTACAGCCCTTGTACTGTATCAGATATCTTTTACACTTGGGAAAAACTTGCTTTCTGTACATCTTTTTAGTGTATAGTTCTGTAGTAGTGACTTTAGTTTCAATCAGACCTAATGCATTATCATCATCTTTGCTTCTGCTTGAAGTGTACAGACCTTTCCATTTTAGGGATGAAGCACTGTTTCATCTAAATATTTGAAATGATTCTTCAGCCTAAGTGCATTAAAAAAGGGGATAGTAATAACACATAAAATTTTTATTTCTTTGTGAAATGTCATGATTTGATTACTTTTTGGCAGTAGTTCTAAGATTTGTTTTGGTTTTTTTTTTTGTTTTTTGTTTCCTTTGTAATGTGTTTTGTAGAAGATGTGCTTTTGTTGTAAATCAGAAATGTCTTGTCTGGGTACGTAACTCTGAGAAACAGTAGATTTTGATAGATAACACTTCTCTCTGAAATAAATACTAGTCTTCAGGGTTGGTTTTCCTCAACACTTCAGATTTAAAAAAATATCCCCTTGGGAGTTTAATCTCTGAAACATTTGGGTAAAGCTTTGGAATTAGGACAGTAGACTGGCAAACATCATTCTCTGATTTAAATTATGCATATCAGTGTGAACTAATTCCTTAAAAGCTATTTCAGTGCAGTAGGTTTGTAAAGAAAAAGGCAATGAAGTTTTGAGATAAGTACAGTGTTTTTCCTGAAAAATACAGTAAGGTGCTGCAGATCATGTTTGACCTCAGTCCATTATATAGTTAGGGATTTTGATAAACAGTGGTTTTCCTTAGTTAAATTAAATATAGATGAACTAATAAAAGACCAGTGTGACTTGATCCCTCTCTCTTGCTGCTTGATGTTTGCCTCCAGTGTGGATCAGCTGAAGGTCTATTAAATGGGTTCATGCAGCTTGATTTGTGCAGCACTGAATTTGTTGGCAATACTCTTAGTGGCATGTGTGGGTGCAGGGGATAGAGGTGTAAGGTGTGTCCCAGGAGGGATGTTCCTAGTCCTTCTTGAGCAAAGACAAGCTCATGTGTAAACAAAAACTTGGAATGCCAAAACCAATTTCTCTTTGCTTATAATCCAGAGCCCATCTAGGAGGACTGTGCTGCCGGAGCCTGGCCCATGGTGCTCAAGTCACAAATTCTGTCATATCCCTGCTAGCATGCCTTTCTGAATTTGGCCTTTGCCCAAAGAAAGTAATTTCAATAACTTTTTTGGTAGACTGGGCAAATGATAAACTAATTATTACAAGGAGTGTAAATGACATTTTAGACTCAATCCTCTTGCTTCAGATGCCATTAAGTGCTTTGCCATCATATTTGAAGAGAGAAAGATGATGTTGTTTGGGCAAAAAAAAAATCAATTTTGATATATCATATAGCTTTTAAATGGCATTTAAACTGCTTATCAAGAACAACATAACACAAAAATTGGAGGCACTTCACAAGCATATAATAAACCTTAGTTTTATACTATGGTGCCAAGGGGGATATTTTACTGGTTAATCAAGCCTTGAGACAAGATAGGCAATCTGGTGTAACTAGTCTCACATCCTTGCCTGAGAAAAAGCTGCAGGATAGATGAATGCTCAGGTATTAACATGTTCTGACACTGGGCACGATTCTGTCTCTCTGAACTTAATGAGAAGCTTTCTCTTGATTCCCGCGTGCGCCAGATTGGGACTGGCATGTCTGCCTCTGACATTAAAATAAAACTTGGAAACAACTTCTGTGTTAAAAAAGAAACAAAGTAGACACTCTGCTTCCCAGATTAAAAAAAAAAAAAAAGGTTGCCCCGAGGATTCAAAATTGTCTTTGGGGCCCAGCAAACAATAGTTTATTTCTTACTCTAATGGCAAACTCTCTAGAGCTGTGGATAAAAGTGTGTTTGATGGAAAAGCACTGCGAGTTCCCAGAGCCTGTGGGGAAAGCTGCTCGGCACCTGATTAGGATTCCAAGTGAATGTGAATTCATTTAACAACCCCTTTCAATGTTGTCTTTTGTGCAGACCGGTTTGGACTCGGACAACCAGGCAGGATGCCTGCTTCTGTGAATGCCATGCGAGTCCTGAGCACAAGCACAGATCTGGAGGCTGCTGTGGCCGATGCACTGGTAAGAGGAAAAATACAAAATGCTTCCAACACCGGAAAGTGGCTTAAAGTTACCTGTACGTATGTTCTCCTCTTTCTAAATAGCTTTGTTCTGATTGTGCCAGTGTCTGATGCTGTAAAGTTAGTTACCTTTTGCTGTTTTGTCTTTTGGTATATTGGCAGCAATGTTTGTTTCCTTATTCCATATTAGTTCTCCACAGTAGTTGTCAAACTGATCACTGTGGCTTGGTGCTAGAGCTGCAGGATGGTTTGAATCAGCTGTTAGTCTTTCACTTGGCTGTCAGATGATGTATATGGCACTGTGGGGGTGCTCGGCACCTGCAGGGTCAGGGATTGCCATCAGTCTCACTACCTGCATGAAGACTTTGTCAGAAAAAGTGTTCTGTATTAGTGCTGATTCCTGATCAGGTTTAGAGGAGAACTAAGAATTTCACAAGTTCCTGCCCTGTGTTATTTGTACCTGTCCAGATACTTGGATCAGCTCATAACTTGCCTTGCCTGTAATCAGTACTGTCTCACGCAGTTGAAGTAACTTGTCAAGTTTGCTGCTAGTACTTTCAAACATTCAATGCATTTCCAAGTAAATTCATTGTAACTTTAAAATTTTTTATTGTCCTATATAATCTTACTATATTATAACATCTCTCGGCTAGATCCCAGAAAGTGTTTTTTGCTCTTCAGAAGACAAGTGTTAAGCCTTTCGATTTACCTTCAGTATTTGGGGTAGAGAGGATTCATATAGTCAGGAGCAATTATTGTACAGCGTTAGCTGAGTACTGGTGTACCTTGGGTCTTCTCCAGCTCAAGACCTCAGGGGAGGACTTCCAAATGTCTCTTGAGACAGATATCTCAGATCTCTATGGAGAATGAACCATGTCCCCAGAGTTTGTGATAAATGTCCTTTCTCCATTTCCTAGTTCACTTTCCCTAAGGATGGCTAACATTTTCTTTTTTATATTTGACTATCATCCAGCTCATGTCACCTCCATTTCTAGATGATTATTAAGGTACTCTTAGACAAATGTCATTTTTTACAAAATCTACCATTCAAAAGAAAAGAATATGTGACTAATATAAAGGTAGGACAGTATATAATAGATGGCACTGTTGCATTTAGTGGGCTTAATCATCAGTGGGCTTTTTCATTACCAAACACAACAGCTTGTGAACAAGTTTCTGCTCTCAGCACCTCAAATGTGCCATCAGAGCAGTTCAGGGCATAATTATAGGTGATGGTTTGCCTGTGTAAATGAAATCAAGCTATATCCCTGAATGTGAGCAGTTGCTTAATACAGGTTTCTTGGTGGAGGAGAAGGTCTCAGTGTTTCAATTCACTGCTGATCGTTAATGTCTCTTTGGGTGTAATTTAATATTCAGGTAGACTTACAGTTCCCTTTTAAATATTCCACTCTTTTAAACTAAATAACATTATACTGGAATGTTAAATCTTAAAAGGTTGAACACTTTAAAGGGAAATCCTTAAGTCTAGCTGGAAACTAAGCTGCTGACTTGGTTGATCAATACGAATTTGTATGGCTTTAGGGGATGCAACGTGATCTTTTTGTCCCCTTCTTTCCCATCACCCCAATTTGCTCTTCTCACAACAGGCAATTTACAAATGCTCCTTTTGAGAGAGCAACGTGATGCCAGCTCTTATCCAGGAGTCTTGTTTTCAAGGAAGCATTATTTTCCCTGTAGTAAGAAATGAAAGTAACTTCTCCAGAGATGGCTTCAGCCAAATACTCAGTTTAAGCAGAACACAGTGGGTCATTTTGTGACCTCTGCTCCCCATGTACAGTTCCCATTGGATCCAGTCTGTCTCGAGAGCTGGACTTGGCATAAACCTGCAGTGTCTCTACTGGGAATCAGTGCTTGGATCTGTCAGAAGAGCTCAAAGGGTGATGGAAACTTTTCTATTAAGTAAGGCCTTTAAGCCAGGGGGGACATCCAGGGTGTCTTGAAAGAAGATGAGCTTCAAAAAAAACGTGGTTTAAGAACTGCAGGTTGAAAGAGAACTTGGTCAAGTGAAGTTGATTAAATGTGGTGTACTGTAGATAGTGGTTTCCTGACATCAGAATTTCTTTCCAAGACTCTAAAAATCAAATGCTACTAATATGTGGGGATATAAATCATTACCAAAAGCTCTGGTATCTTCCAGAGCAGCATTCTAAAAGGTAAGCAGAGAGTTGCTCTATATAGATCTGCCAGCAAAAAAACTATTAACGTATTATCTCACTTCCAAGCTCCCTAATGGAAATTGTAGGCTGTAAGGGTAAAGCAATAGTTTGGAGATAAACGCAGGCATTATTATACCCACTTTTATTTTGCATATACTGTATTTTAATTTGCTAAGACACATTTGCTATACGTTTTTGTTGCAAAAACAAACCCTACATAAGCTTCTGACATAATTCTCTATGCTTTTTCCCACCCTTCAATATTTTCCTGCCTACAGCTGTTAGGAGACTCCAGGAGCAAGGTACTAGTGCTTTCTTGACTTTTTATTTCTACTTTCCAACTTGCCCCACCCTGTTGCTAACACCCATGATACTGCACTTGTGTTAGTTTCTACATTTCAAACCTGCAGTCCTAGTGGAAGCAAAACTCTGCTGGCTTCACAAGTCCAAGAGCTGCATGACTTCACGCTGTAAGGAATTCTGTAGCAAACACTTTAGAATATAGATTCTCTTTTATCTGATATATATCAGTCCTGTTCTGTTAAGGTTCGTTTAGGAGTTTTGTAGTATAGCATACAATTTGTTTTGCTACCATAATTATTTTAATATCTCTTATGTAAGAATCGAGGTTGTCAAAGATGGTACCTAAGGGAATCACATCCTCTAATGCCATGCTATGGAAATGAGTGCAATTTGAGTACTCAACTCCCATAGCAGCCTCTGGAAAAATCCTAGTCCAAACTAACAGAAATTTTCATCTCCTGTATCTCAGTGCATTTCTAGAGTCACTTCATTATCGATATCAAAGTGACTGTGCATGTCAGCACAGATTCTTTCAGCTCTTTCTTCTTTTATTATTTTTTTTCTTGAAGTAGAGTTTGTATTATCACAGAATCTGTAACAATGGAACTGACTGTTATTGACAATAAAATAACGTATGATTGCCAGTAGCTAATTTCACTGGGCATAAATATCTTGCTTCCATGCTGGGGAAGGCAAGCCCTGCTCCCCTTAGTCACTTGAATAGTCTCATTGAAATCAATGGGATCTGTCTTGCTGTACTGTGAGAGGTAAGCAGGCAGTGCTTGGTGATGTCTTTAAAACACGTCACTATAGCAATAGTCTTCCTTTTAGTGATTATTGATAGAATGTTTTTCTTTTGGCACTGATGTAACCATATATAACTTACTAAGTCTGAGTTTCCCCTTTTCCAGAAAAAGCCAGTGAGAAGAAGATATGAACCCTATGGGATGTACTCCGATGATGATGCTAACAGTGATGCATCAAGCGCTTGCTCAGAGCGCTCCTATGGTTCCAGGAATGGGGGCATTCCACACTACCTGCGGCAGACTGAAGATGTGGCTGAGGTTCTGAACCACTGTGCCAGCTCCAACTGGTCTGAAAGGAAAGAGGGGCTCATAGGTCTTCAGAACTTACTGAAAAGTCAGCGGACACTGAGGTGACCTTGATAGTTTTTATAGTTCAGTCATTCATGAGAAATGGCTATAGTCAGATGTCAGTAATACGTACCTGCCTTATGAAGACACATACTATCTTTCACAGCTGTGAAAGCTTTGTCTCCACAATCTGGGACTTTACTTTTGGAAAAAGTTCTGCTATGTCATCAGTATAATTTGTGTTAAATTTGTAGCAGTAATGTAGAAAGGACTCAGTTAAGCATGCTATCTTCTATTAGCCTTCCTCTGTTTTGTGGAGGCTTCCAGTGGTAGGTGCTTGTTGCAGCACATTGACATTTCCCACAATGATGGTATCGTAAAAGCAGTACCACCCTTTGAATGCATTTACATTAATCCGACCCTTCAGTTTATTATTTTCTCCCAGCAACTCAGTTGGCGAAGCAAGCACTCACCGCACTTACTCTGTGTGTGTGTTTCAAAGATGAGATTAGACAATGCTTATGTTGGGTATACTTTGACTCCTTATGAAGTCTTTGTCAGATGCAATTATAGATATTACTTATAACTCTTGAAAAATCTTAGATATTTGAGGCTCCTATAAATGGTGTAGCTTGTAGAGGGAAGTTTCTTAAGGCAGTGAAATAGGTATACCAACTCTGAAAATTTGCTTGTGGTAGGAGACAGAGGCCTTTGTTGAAAGCCACATAAACCCTTCCAACACCTTTGGCATGTCACACATTACAGCAGATCTTAGAATTACCCAGTAGCCATATGGAAACGTCGTATGGCCACAGGTCACATGAACTAAAGTCAGCTGACTCTCAGGCCATAGTTTTTTGCCCTTAGTTTATGGTGAAGGTATTTGGAAACAAGTTGATTATCCTTTGACTCCTTTGAGGATAACATTCACAAAGAGCTGTGACACTTTATTTTCCTGTTATGAATATTATGTACTTAAATTATGACCAAGTTTGTAAGTGTGGTTGTATGGTTTATAGCCTACCTACTTGGATTGGCGCAATTCTTTCCATTTCAAAAGGCCTTTACACTGGCTGAAAATATTTGATGGCTCATGTGAACAGGCTGAATGAAAATATACGGAGAGCAGGCCTGGAAAAGGTGTTCTCTTGCTATCATAAAAATATTCTAGAACTTTACATAATGTGGTATAGTCCTTAAGTGGGAAGTGCTACAGGTTTTTAATATGAGTAGTTAGACTCTCTCAATCAGAGATGCTTTTTGATGTTGTCTATTTACAAGTCTTTTAAAGATACTTCCTTCATTTATGCTGCTTTTTTTTTTCTTTTTTCTTCTTTATTTATTTTAACAAACTGTCTGGAGAAAACTGATACTTCATATACTTGTATGAAAAGGTTGGGTGAGACACTGATTTTGCCACAAAGGTGTGTGAGGATTTATAACCAAGGTTTTGAGTGCTGCTTTTCCAAGAGAGGAAATGCTGAGAAGTTAGGGTGATGAGCTGTTTATCCATATCCATATCTCTTAGCAGAAATGCTGGTAGAATTTTTGTTTTCAACTCTGCTGACTGCAGTCTTTAAACTGTACTGCTGTCACTAGTCTCTCAAGCTTGCAAGTTTTCTTAGCTTTGATCCTGAATAGTTTATAAACCTGTCCCAGGAACTACACCCCTGCAGAGTTATTTTTTAATTTGATACTGGTTTTAGTTGTCTAGATTATATTTCATTTTGGTTTGCCTTTGGTCTGCTTCCTCTTTGGTTCAGAGTTGGCCTGGTGCCTGTTCTAATGGTTAGATTTTATCATCCTGTTTGTTCCCACGGCATCTTGTAGATCATCATCAAGGTCATTAGTCCAAAGGGCAAGTCTGTCTGTCTTCTAATTAAACCTGGTATCTTCTGTTGTGGTCTGAGAAGTTTAATAAAAGTCAGAGATACGGCTAGGTTTCCTTTAGTGCTCTGAACTGAAAGATGGTTGATCCTATATTAGCTGGGATTTGCATATTCAGAAAGATGTGTGCGTACAAAGTGGTGTGGCGCTTACCTATCCGTTTGTTTCATATAGTTTCATGTGGCCTAATTCTCTTAAGTGTGCTCCCCGTAAGGTCTTCAAAATAAAACAAGGCCAACAAGTCCCTTAAGGAAATGTTCTTCCACTGCCTGTTTCAGTTTAGTACTTGCATTGTTACCTTGGGTCCATGAGCTTTTAAAAAGAGACACACTTACACTTGCTGTTTTCATGTAACCTGTGTCCAGAAAGAAAATTCATTAGAATAATAGCTAAGGGTTTGTCTAAAGAGCTGTAATTTGCAATTCAGAAGAGCGTTGTAGTCATTTTAGGACTGTGCAGTCTCACCCTGAATGAAGCTGACAGCTTGCTGTGACATTGTTTCAAAGATTTTTTCCTCTACATCAAACCATTTGGTTTGTGTCATTTTAAAATTTGGTCAGCCTTTAATGCATAGGCTTGTTTTGAAAAATGTCCTGTATTACTTATAAATGAGTTAACATAAAAAAGCTGCAGACTAATAGCATATTCTGGTCTGTTGTTCGAAGCTTATTTTGAGAGAGGGAGAGATATGTTGGTGGACTGTAGACCTAATGTCTTTCTGGAAAGAGGGTTACCCATAGTTAAGACCTGAATGGCTGTTTTCTGAGCGAACCATGTGCATTTCAGTAGTTGCTCTGGTTTCATAGTAATGGTGGAAAATATCTAACTGCATGCATGGTAAGCAGGAAATGTTACCCAACTGTTTTGTTCTGGTTTTGTGTGCACAGTAAACAAGGAAAATTTCTGCATTCTTTGGCAGTTTGCCTTTCAGGAAAACTAAGACTTGTATTTTCAATACATTGCAAGTAAGAGCTTTGGCATCAAACAGTTCTGCATTTGACTTAACTCAGTATCTTATGAAAAGGACCCATACATCATCCTTCTCACCCCTGGCATAAAAAGAGTGTTACTGACACCTAATAATCTTTCTAATAGGAACTTAGATTGCGCTTTGATTTAATTATCTTCTGACTTACTAGGTTGCCCACTTGTTAATCTGTTTTGTATTTCTGTTTATTTGTCTACTCCATGTGCCTGCTGTCAGACTTCAGAGTTGGTTCTGGTATTTGTTAATATGGTGTGATTCTTGACTGATTTTAATGATTTTTTTAACTGAAAATTTAGACGAAAATATTTATGATTAGTATATACCCAAACAGCATGAAAGTTCTGATTTTACTTGAAAATTTGGATTCCCTGACAAAGGAGACTTGAGACACTTTGGCTGCAAAAGACCCACATTTCAGTGAGTCTGTGACCTTGACTGACGCAGGCAGAAAACAAATACTTCCCAAATGTGTGCATTTCAAGTTGTATTCTGCAATCCAGAGCATAGAAAAAGGTTAAAGCAGCAGAAAATACAAGTGTCTGTCTTATAATTTTAAAAAAAAAGTGTATTAGATTTCTTAATGTAAGACTGGTGATCCCAGCGGTTAAACTGGAATGGCAGTTAAAAGGCTTTGCCTAGATACAGTTTTCAGAAGTGTGACTTAAGTATCATTTAAATAAAGGTTAGATCTTTCAGCTGTTAATATTTATTAACCTTTTTTCTGCAACTAGAACTTTAGCATTAATACCTATTCTATTTATTTCAGCCGAGTCGAGTTAAAAAGGCTATGTGAAATATTTACTCGCATGTTTGCTGACCCTCACAGCAAGGTAAGATCACAAAGACTTGACTCATTCTCTTACATTTCCCTGTGTGCACATTTGACACTGTTCCAAGATGAATGGTCCATATTCTTACCATCTGCTGGGGAAGTGGGCATTTATAAGTCTCCTTGACTTTTATGTTTTGTAATAAGGGGATATATCTCAATCTCCCTTATATTGCTAGGACTTGGACTTGGTTACTCCTTGCTTCATAAGGGGCAGCTCTCCCATGTTAACTCATGGAACGAGAAGTTCAGTTTTACTTGTGGTTCTCTAGGGAGTGTCTTGGTGATACACACTAGAGTGAGGTCTGTGAAGGTAATGAACTGGAGTTCAGCATCACAGTCACTGCGGTTTGTATATTGTATATGCCTGGGAGCAGTATGGCACCTCACCAAGATACTGTTCTGGATCTCATAATTAAAGTCCTTAATATAGCTGTTTTGCCTTCTTTATAGCACTAACCTTTGAAGTTAAAGGCCATGGCATAAATTTACAAACATCTCTTAAAAAGCAGCAGGGTAGGGAATGGGGAGGTCGGGTCCATAGGCACGTTCAGACCCAGTAGCCTTCTGCCAGCAGATAAGTGGGAGCAGAGAGAAGGGAAAAGGGAGTTTCATGCCCTTTCCTGAGGAGGTTTGCTGGTTGAAGGCAACCAGTAGTGGCTGAGTAAAAACATCTGCTGTTGGGTTAAATGCAGTTTGAGAAAGCGTAAGTTGTACAAATATTTGTATTTCAGACCACTTGGTAAACCAGTTTAAATAATCAGTTGTCAGGTGGAAATGCCATGGGCAGGCACAGTTGCCTGTCACAGGCAGGTCTTGCTCCAAGTGTGCATTTTTCGCCATAGTAATAGTCCAGATCAGCTGTCCCACAGGCTGAGTGTGGCAGTTCCTACCTTCTAAGGTCTTAACGTTTTGCTTCTCAAAGGTTCAGCATGTGTTGTAGAAAGGGTGAAGGTGTAGCTCTTTGCAGAATGGTTCCAATTCTTGTGTCGTGTGAGGGTTTATTACACACTGGACTAAAGTTATGTCCTCTGTGGTGATCTGTAACCTGCACTGCTTCTGTAGAATTATTGCTACAAACACATTAGTCGTGGTGTTAAACATATCCAGACATGTAAACATATATAAACATATGTTACTTTCATGACTGAGGAGACTGGATCTGATACAAGGTATATGATATTTTAAGTAACTCTGTTGAGAAGAGATTCAAGAAAATGTTAACTTCCAATGAATGCATCCTTTATCTGTTTACAAACTGCATCTGAACAACCAGCCTTGATCACTATGTGTGCTAACGAGTGGTTTGTTTTGTTGCATGGCCTGCTTTGCCGTGGAATTCACAACAGAGAGTAAGTGTATTCTACCCCCTTCCTTCATTTGTTTCCTGTGGTATTTTAATACGACACGTTTTAGACGTGTTTCGTCTGACTTTTTTTTTTTCCCCAGCCATGTAGTCACTAAAATCATTCATTCTTGAAACTGTCTATAACAAAATCATCCTGAAACACAGATTGTAAACCTCTCCCCTTTGATTATTTTTGTTTAAAGCACTGTGTTCCTTTTTGTGACACCTGTTTTGTTTATAGGTGTTCAGCATGTTTCTGGAAACCCTGGTTGATTTCATCATCATTCATAAAGATGACTTGCAGGATTGGCTTTTTGTTCTCCTGACCCAGTTACTAAAGAAAATGGGAGCAGATTTGCTGGGGTCTGTGCAGGCGAAAGTTCAAAAAGCTCTGGATGTCACCAGGTAGAGTATGTAGATGGCAAATACTATGAAGGTTTTTGCAGGATTACAGAAGGGCATCTGATGAACATTTTAGAAACACAGTAGTCCTGTATGTTTTGAGGGCTCAATCTTGATGAATACCGGAATAAAGGAGAGCAAAGTTATGTCACAGTATTTCAGGCATTGAATTAAAAAGGCTCATCTAGGATACTGAGTGTATATTACTCCTCCAGGGGAGGGTCAATAGCTATTATCTCTTTCCATTTCTTTTTCTAAATGTAACGTCAGTTGCTTTCCTCACTTGTACTTAAAATATGTAATATCTGTATGTATGTACTGCAATACAAGAGGGGAAAAAGAGAAAAGAATTCTAAATATAAAATGAAAATATTTCACATGGGTGTACTCTTCAGTGTCAGTGATGCAACTTATTTCTAAATTTGTCTACATTTGACTTAAGATACATCGTATGGTATATCAGCTGCAGGCTGAGAAAATTGGGGCTGTTCAGCCTGGAGAAGAGAAGGTTGCATGGAGACCTCGTAGCAGCCTTCCAGTATCTGAAGGGGGCCTACAAGGATGCTGGGGAGGGACTCTTCAACAGGGACTGTAGTGGTAGGACAAGGGGTAATGGCTTTAAACTTAAACAGGGGAAGTTTAGGTTAGACATAAGGAAGAAGTTCTTTACAGCGGGGGTGGTGAGGCACTGGAATGGGTTGCCCAAGGAAGTTGTGAATGCTCCATCCCTGGTGGTGTTCGAGGCCAAGTTGGACAGAGCCATAGGTGACATGGTCTAGCGGGAGGCATCCCTGCCCATGGCAGGAGGGTTGGAACTAGATGATCTTAAGGTCCTTTCCAACCCAAACCATTCTATGATTCTATCTCTTTTCTAAATAGGTAACTTTAAAGTATAACATTTAAAATGTGTAACTGGTTTTGTTAATTTGATTTTATTTTTTTTTTGGTGTGCATGTGCTTAGATATCAATTTTCTTTCTGATTGATGGGGGGAGGTGGAATATTTACAGCATTCATATTTACCACAAAGTTCAGAACATCTTTCATATTGTTCAAACAGCAAATAAGGGTAAATGTCAGGATAAGACCTTGAATGCTACTGCAGTGTGCACACCAATTCTGTAGTCCATGTCATTTCTAAGGATGTCCAGCACAGGTCACTGTTACAATAAGGTTCAGCTAATCCTGGAAATAGGATAATTAAAAAAAAAAAAGTAATCCAGGAGAAAATAGGATAGATTAGGAAAATAGGAGAAAGAAGTCAAAACTAGGTATGAACTCTGAGGACAAGATAAATACCAGGCTGCTACTGGAGATTAGGGAACAAAGAACAGCTTGAAATGAAGGAATGGACAGATGTGCCAAAAGCTGGGTAAGTGTACAGAGGCCAGATAAAGTAACAGTGTATGGAGATACTGATTTAGCAGTCTTCTTCAGTATTCAATTAGTAGTCAGCTAATCCTTAGACTTGGAGTTTCTCTGGTTCATGGTAAAGTTAAAAAGAAAATTATGATAGGTGTTGAAATCTGTTGTGTAAGCTTTAATGTATAGAGTTAATTTAGTGCTGAAAATTTATGTTGCATTACATTTTTTGCCTTTTGTTGTTTTTTTTTGACAGGGATTCTTTTCCATTTGATCAACAATTTAACATTTTGATGAGGTTTATTGTAGATCAGACCCAAACACCAAACCTGAAGGTCAGTATCAAAAGCCTTCTCAATAAAACATCAAGAAGGTTGTCTAAGCTTGCCATGTCAGGCATACTGGAAAGCATAGAACTCATGTTAAGATGACTAATTTTAAGTACCTGCATGATACAGAAATTATATTGGCATTTAACTTGTTCTCTAAAATAGGATCCTATGAGAGTTGGGCTTTAAGCACACTGGAACATATTAAACTTTGGATATAGATAATTCTTCTTCACCCTGGTCTTGGTAGGAATAAAACCTGGCTGTGCAGGACAGAAAGACCAGATTGTCTGAACGGCTGGACCCTAGCCACACCTCAACAAGTGCTCCTTGCACAGATAAGACAAAACACTTGCAGGGTTTGGAGAAAAAAAAAATCAGAGCTTTCTGTTACTGAATCCTCCCAAAGGAATATTGTTGTGCAGACTGTTTTTTAGGAGGTTGCTGTTTAAAGACTGTAGGAAAACTGTAAACTCTGGAAGTCAGACACATTTATCTTCCAGAGTTAAGAATGTACAGGTTACCAAATGACTTGTGTTCTTTCTTTAATCTCTGAAATTTTCTATCTTTTGGGACTCTGTCAGGCATTTGGTTAAGACCAAAAGCTATGGTTTGGCATCTGGAACAATAACCACTGGTGGAACCAGCATGGTAGAGTACTGATTTGCTTACGGAAACACAAGTAGGCATACGTATTTCAAGCCAGTTCTGATATACCATTCCAGGCTCTTACTACACACAATTTATCTGGGGTAGAGAATTGCTCTTGATTTTTGAAACATGACATAGAGAAATGTCAGGGATATTTTGATTTTTCCTCATGACATAAGTCTTGTCAATCCGTAGTGGTATCTGTTTATTATGGGATAAATCCATCTTTGCCCGCTTCTTGAGCCTAACAAATACCTTTTTGCTTCTAAGGTGAAGGTTGCTATCCTGAAGTATATTGAGTCCTTGGCAAGACAGATGGATCCAACAGACTTTGTGAACTCTAGTGAGACAAGACTTGCTGTATCTAGAATTATAACTTGGACAACAGAACCAAAGAGCTCAGATGTGAGAAAGGTAAGCCAGGGTGATCAAGTATTTGCAGTAATTATTGTTGTTTAAAAAAAAAAAAGTGAGAAAAAAGAAGAAACAATAAAGAATGGTCATAAAGGTAATGAAAAATTCAGTTACTAGATTCTGGTTTTTTAAGAAATTGATTTTACATACGTCACTGTCCAAAACAAATTGCCAGTTCACTAAAAACACATTTCTGAAGCATGCCTTCATATATTTTTTTCTAGTAGGTACTTAACTGTATGACTTTACTAATACTGTGCAAAAAGGTGTAACAGTTTGAAAATGTACTTTTTCTTGAGCAGTCTGGAAATATCCCTAGGTTTTAGTTTATTTAGGTGAAGGCCCTGTGCTTTGTAGACTGAATGAAATCTAGCACAACTTCTGTAGTGTTACATTGTTAAAATAAACAAATCAGTAAGCTGCCAGGGGCTCTCAACTCTTTCCTTTTAAGAGCTGTGTGTTTATCTCAACCTGGAAAATACTGACACATTTAGGTCAGGTCTGGGTAATACAGTTACGTTGTTCTTTATCTTGCTCTAGATGCAAGTGTCAGGCAAGCTAAAATGGGGCAGATGGTGATATTCATCTTTCCCAAGAGAAAAGTGAGCCTTAGTTTTATGTACCTGGCATCTGTAACACAATTTAAGACTGCATTCTCAGCCCAGATGCAGAAATATATTCTGGTAAGAGTTAAAGGCTTGAGGTGTACTTGGATTAAAAAAAACAAAAAAAAACAAAAAAAAAAAAAGGCAACCCCCCCCCCCAAAAACCTAAGCAAACCTTTAAGCATTTCAGAATGTAAAAATTATCTGAGATTTTTTCACTCTACATGCACTTAAAATGTTGAATTAGTAGTAGAATAACAGATTATTTTTAAACTTGGAAATAACATTGTTTTTGTTATTAGTGATTATCTGAGTCTGATTAAAAGATCACTGGGGATCAAATGTGCTGCAGCATTATCTGATAGCTGACACAAAGCTTCAAAGAAGCTTTCTGGGTTCGTGCTGCTTTCTTACATACAGTTGATTGGTTCTAGAGAAAAATGTCTCATGGTCTTTTCTGAAGATTTTCTGCAGGGATTATTCACACCAGTGTGACTAAAATTTGCTTCTGCAAGATAATCAGCCTCAGGAAAAAAGGGTTACTTTAAATCCTGGACTTAGATCTAGAATAGGCATTTCCATTTTGATGCTTCCATGTACCAAGTCAGAAAGAATTAAACAGGCAAAGAAGCCGCTTCTCTATTACAGCTCAAGTAAACCGCAAGCAGTCTACTGTGTTTGTGGTCTGCAAGAGGGAGTAGTAATTAATTTAAGTGAATTATGCATTGAAAAGCAAAATCTCTGTGTACTGCTTAGCAGAAGAAATATTCCACCATTAGGGGTCATCATTGCTGCATGCAAAATTGAGTGAAGAGTATCTGCAGAGCTGAAAAAAATTGGCTGTTCACTATGGGGTGTGAGGAGTGGGTGTTCACAGCAGGGTATCCATCCTTCTGTCTCTTTCAAAGACTTGCAGAACTCTGGAAAAACTTCCACCAAACTCCACCTGGGCAGTACCCAAGCAAGTGCCTTGGGTCTGACAAGAGATTACTGAATCTAAATTCTACTTATTGAACCTGCATGTGACTTGGATTTGCCTCTGATACCTGTAGCTTTCAAAGAAATTATTACACAGCTAAGCCAATTTAGGCTACTGAGAGTGAATGCCCAGGTGATCCTTATTTTAACATGCCGTTGCTGTACTATGATTTTATTAAGAACACAGTACAAACCATAGGCTTTAGAAGAAACACTGCAGCAAAGGATTTATAAGCAATCATTGGCCATTATCTCTGTGAGGACTTTAGTTAACAGACTAATAAATTCTTTATGCAGTAGCAAACTGGATTATCAAGGGCCAACCCAGACAGGTGAAATGTTCTGAAGAACACAATTGAAAGATTGTCCTCTGTTTTTGGAGACTGTATGTAACTTGGAATAAAGTACCTTTTTTAACAGTAAGGTGATAAATTTAAGCATTAAAAGATTCTGCCCTCGTGGAAGGTATTATGGCAGCGTTCAAGATCTGTGATCTTTCTAAGCCCAAAGCAGACCATGCATTGTAAATGTTGTCACAAACGTCCCTCCCTCAGGGGAGAGGGAGAAGAACCAGTTTGGTCTTCAAATGATCAAAGTACTACAACAGCCCTGTAAAAAGTGTAAAATAAGATAATTTTTCAGTAGAATCTGGATTTGAGACCACCAGTGCAATCAATGCGGCTCCAGAAAGCTGACAAGAGCACAGTTTATTTTTGGTACTGAGGAGTCTTTGCAGGCATAGTCTGGCCCATGTATACTTCTCCAGCTGGCACGGTGCAATGGTGATGCTGGTCCCCAACTACTTGCGGAGGCAGGGGCT